ACTTTTTTCAATTATTTTAAAGGAATTAGCAAAAAATATATATTCTAAAAATGTTAAATTAAAAATTCAGTGAGGATGTATCATAGATATGTGACAATTGTCATAATAGCTATTTTTGAACTTTTTCAAATTTTTTAAAGGAAACATCTTAAAATATATATTCTAAACATATTAAATTTAAAATTCAGTGAGGATGTATCATAGATAGGTGACTTTAACATGTTTAGAATATATATTTTTAGCTATCTCCTTTATAAAAATTTGAAAAAGTTCAAAAATAGCGATTATGACAATTGTCACCTATCTATGATACATCCTCACTGAATTTTAAATTTAACATGTTTAGAATATATATTTTTAGATATTTCCTTTAAAAAAAGTTCAAAAATAGCGATTATGACAATTGTCACCTATCTATGTAACATCCTCACTGAAATTTTAATTTAACATGTTTAGAATATATATTTTTAGCTATTTCCTTTAAAAAAATTTGAAAAAGTGCAAAAATAGCGATTTTGACAATTGTCACATATCTATGATACATCCTCACTGAATTTTTAATTTAACATGTTTAGAATATATATTTTTAGATATTTCCTTTAAAAAAATTTCAAAAATTTCAAAAATAGCGATTATGACAATTGTCACCTATATATGATACATCCTCACTGAATTTTAAATTTAACATGTTTAGAATATATATTTTTAGATATTTCCTTTAAAAAATTTGAAAAAGTTCAAAAATAGCGATTATGACAATTGTCACATATATATGATACATCCTCACTGAATTTTTAATATAACATGTTTAGAATATATATTTTTAGCTATTTGCTTTAAAAAAATTGAAAAAAGTTCAAAAATATTGATTATGACAATTGTCACCTATCTATGATACATCCTCACTGAATTTTAATTTAACATGTTTAGAATATATATTTTTAGATATTTCCTTTAAAAAAATTTAAAAAAGTTCAAAAATAGCGATTATGACAATTGACACCTATCTATGATATATCATCACTGAATTTTTAATTTAACATGTTTAGAATATATATTTTTAGCTATTTCCTTTAAAAAAATTTGAAAAAGTTCAAAAATACCGTATATGACAATTGTCACCTATCTATGATACATCCTCACTGATTTTTAATTTAACATGTTTAGAATATATATTTATAGATATTTCCTTTAAAAAAATTTGAAAAAGTTAAAAATATGCGATTATGTCAATTGTCACCTATATATGATACATCCTCACTGAATTTTTAATTTAACATGCTTAGAATATATATTTTTAGCAATTTGCTTTAAAAAAACTCAAAAAAGTTCAAAAATAGCGATTATGACAATTTTTATTTATCTATGGTACATCATCACTGAAATTTTGATTTAACATGTCTACAATATATATTTTTATCTATTTCATTTAAAAAAGTTCAAAAATAATTATCATGACAAATGGCACCTTTCTATGGTACATCACTTAAAAATTTTAAAATATAACTATGATGAATAGATCAGAGCATTATAATTTAAAGAAGCTTTAAGTAACTTTCCCGCCTATAATATTAATATATACTAAATGTTTTTTTGACTTTTGGTCGAAAAAAATGATCTAGATAATTGGGTTAGGGGTGAAAAAAAGCAACCCTAACTTTAAGTCGTCTTTAAAAAAAAGATCCATATTTTGGGTCGGATTGAATAAAACGACCCGATGTTTGAGTCTGAGTCAGAAAAACCACCCAAACTTTGAGTTGGAGTCGAAAAATACGACCCAAACTTCAAGTTTGAGTCGAAAAATACGACCCAAACTTCAAGTTTGAGTCGAAAAATACGACCTAAACTTCAAGTTTTAGTCGAAAAATACGACCCAAACTTCAAGTTTGAGTCGAAAAATACGACCTAAACTTCAAGTTTTAGTCGAAAAATACGACCCAAACTTCAAGTTTGAGTCGAAAAATATGACCCAAACTTCAAGTTTAAGTCGAAAAATATGACCCAAATTTCAAGTTTGAGTCGAAAAATACGACCCAAATTTTGAGTCGGAGTCGTAAAAAACGACCCATATTTTGGGTCGAGGTCGTTTTTTCGGCTTGGACTTGGGTCGGAGTCGAAAAAAACGACCCATATTTTGGGTCGAAGTCGTTTTTTCGGCTTGAACTCTGGTCGAAGTCGTAAAAAACGACCAAAACTTTGAGTTGGAGTCGAAAAAAACGACCCAAAATTTGGGTGAGCTCTGTTCGAGCCGACTCGGCTAAGCCGATTAACAACACTATTCAGAATATATATTTTTAGCAATTTGCTTTAAAAAAACTCAAAAAAGTTCAAAAATGGCGATTATGACAATTGTCACTTATCTATGGTACATTTTCACTGAAATTTGATTTAACATGTCTAAAATATATATTTTTATCTATTTCATTTAAAAAGTTCAAAAATAACCATCATTATGGTACATCTTTACTTAAAAATTTTAAAAAATAACTATGATGGAATAGTTAATCCAGAGCGTTATAATTTAAAGAAGCTTTAAGTAACTTTCCCGCCTATAATATTAATATCTACTAAATGTTATTTGACTTTTGGTCGAAAAAAATGATCTAGATATTTGGTTAGGTGAAAAAAAGCAAACCTAACTTTAAGGTGTCTTTAAAAAAAACGATCCATATTTTGGGTCGGATTGAATAAAACGACCCGATGTTTGAGTCTGAGTCAGAAAAACGACCCAAACTTTAAGTTGGAGTCGAAAAATACGATCTAAACTTCAAGTTGGAGTCGAAAAATACGACCCAAACTTCAAGTTTGAGTCGAAAAATACGACCCAAACTTCAAGTTTGAGTCGAAAAATATGACCCAAACTTCAAGTTTAGTCTAAAAATACGACCCAAATTTCAAGTTTGAGTCGAAAAACCCAAATTTTGAGTCGGAGTCGTAAAAAACGACCCATATTTTGGGTCGAGGTCGTTTTTTTCGGCTTGGACTTGGGTCGGAGTCGAAAAAAACGACCCATATTTTGGGTCGAAGTCGTTTTATTCGGCTTGAACTTGGGTCGAAGTCGTAAAAAACGACCAAAACTTTGAGTTGGAGTCGAAAAAAACGACCCAAAATTTGGGTGAGCTCTGTTCGAGCAGACTCGTCTAAGCCGATTAACAACACTATGCAAAACCAAGTGAAAAAATGACATAGTGTGTTATACATGTGGTTTTGTAGGACATATAAAAAGAAATTGCATGGTGAAAGAAGCCAAATTTAAAAAGTGGATTTCCGCAACGAACATCGGTAGTGATAAATCCAGTGGTTCGAAATATACAAAATCCTAGTATTACAAATATGGATAAAACAGAAATATACAATACAGACCATGATAGGATGTGTTTCAGATGTGAAAAAATGGGACACATTGCAATACATTGTATTTAAAGTGTGAGTGGGTCACAGTGGTTATATGATTTGAAAGAGAGTCATATAAAAATAGATAAATTATATTTAGAGAATATAAAATTTTGTGATATATATAGTTTTATTAAAAATTTTGTGGATATATATAATAAAATAGATAATCATTATGGGAATGATAATTATACATTTAACTCGAATAAAAAGAGTTGTAATGTGGGAAATTCTTATTGTCATTCTGATGAAATAAAAAAATTTAAATTAACCAATAATCTGAATAAAAACGATTATTATAATCAAACAAGTGGGAAATATCCATGGGAGATTTTTAATAAAAACATAAATGAGATTCAGAGACCTTTAAATTCTGAGATGAATTTAGGTATGAATATTAATTATAGTGGAAATTCGATTATAATAAATACTATTCAGCCAATGAAAGTAATTGAAAAATTAAGTGATGAGGGAACAATTGAACAAAGTTCATGACCTCATATAAATTTGAAAATTGTTGAACATATTGTGGAAATGTTATTTGATACTAGAGCAAGTATTTCAATAATTTCTAGTGAAATTTTTATAAATATTGGCCGAATGGTATTGTCGAGAGACAAAATATGTGTATAAAACCATTTGATGAATCTGAAATCCAAGTTTTGGGTAAAACGCAGTGGGATGTTCTTTTTTATGATATTCCTATAATTTTGGATTTATGGATAGTGAAAAAAAATGTTGAAACAATTATGGGTTGGGATTGGATTAGCAAACTTGGACCTAGAAATAATTATTGGGATTTATTTATAATTGATAGCCAATTGGCTAGAAATAATGTCAAAAGAAAAATAATGGCTAATGAAGTCAGGGAAAAGCTTAAAGAAAAGGAAATGAATAAATTAATGAGTGAAGTGAAAGAATCTATAGTTAATAATAATATTTGTGAATACCTCGCAAAATTAATAATAGATTCAAATCAATATAAGATCAATCGTGAAGTTGATAATGATAAAAAAATTTAATGAAATTAATGAATTAAATAGAGTTGAAAACGCTATACCTATTTTAGTTGAAAAATATGATATAATTTTTGAAGACACTTTGGGATGTCTAAATGATTATCAAGTGGATTTTAAATTAAAAGAGGGATTTCACCTATTTTCTTAGCATGTCGTAGAGTTCCTTTTGAGTGGAAAAAGGAAATCAACGAAGATAAATGGGTTAATGATGGTATTATTATTCCTGTGGAATATAGTAAATGGGCTACACTATTAGTACCTGTTAAAAAATCTAATGGAAAACTTAGATTATGTGCAGATTTTTGAGTAACACTTAACAAATGGGTTGTGGAAGTGAAATATCCATTACCTCGAATTGAAGAAATTTTGGCAAATTTAAAGGGAGCCAAATATTTTTCAAAAGTTGACTTTTCATCAGCATATTTACAATTGCCTTTGAAAGAAGAAATTCGTAAATTGTTGACAATAACAACGCCTAAAGGATTATTTGCGTTTTGTAGATTACCTCTTGGGTTAAGTGTATCTGCACCGATTTTTCAGAGAACGATGGCATCAGTTTTTTAGGGTTTGGAAGGTGTATTTTATTATATGGATGATGTGTTGATAACTGGAGTGACGCCAGAACAACATAATCAACGTCTTGAAGAGGTTTTCAAGAGAATTCAAGATAAAGGTTTAAAAGCTAGTAAAGAGACGCATTCTTGGTGTCACCGAAATAGTATATTTGGGTCATCAAATTAATGGAATTGAAGTGAAACCACTTGATAAAAATTTAAAAAATATTTTAAACATAAATCAGCCTAGTAATAAAGCTGAAGTACAATATTTTATGGGCATGTTAAGTTATTATCATAGATTTGTGGATAATTTTGCAAAAATAGCAACTCCATTATATGACTTATTAAAAAAAGGTGTTAATTTTGAGTGGAAAATTGAACAAAGAAGTGCTTTTATTAAAGAAAAGAATTGGTGAAGTAACCAATTTTATTGTGTTTTAACAATGATTTGAGATAATTCTTGCTGTTGATGCATCAAATAAAGGTGTCGGAGGCGCATTATTACATGTCATTGTTGGTTTAGAGAGACCAATTAATTTTTTTTTAACGAATATTTCATGAAGTGGAAACTAGATATTCTGTTACAGAACAAAAGGCTTTAGCGATTATTTTTGGGTTGACCAAATGTCGCGAGTATTTAATCGGGAAAAGATTTGTGAATTATACAGATCACAAGCCATTAATTCATAAGATAACAAAGAATTAATGATGTCCCCGAGGTTACAACGGTGGTTGTTACTTGTTGGAAGTTTTAATGTGGAAATAAAATATAGGCGAGGAAGAGAAAATTATTTGCCAGATATATTGTCGATATTAGGGGCAGGTTGTGCTACTCCTGAAATAATTGATAACATGATTAAAGATAGAGAAGATGCATTGGTGCGAACTCTATCTATAGTATGAGACAAATAAAATTATTTTTAATGGGAAAAAAATCATGGAAAAATATTTATAAACTTTATCAAAGATGTGAAAAAGAATTATCCGTGGTGGATGATGGTGTAATTAGGGGAAATAGGGGCAGTAATTCCGGTGAAATTACGTGCTAAAATAATTAATTTATTACATGCAGGTCAAGGGTCAAGTTAAAATAAAATCTTGGGCTCGTGAATATGTGTGGGTGACCTGGGATGGGTAATGATATAGAAAAAATTACAAGAGAATGTGTTCCATGTAATACCTGTGCCGTTATGCCCCGTAAAGAGATGGGACAAGTATGGCCAAAATCAAAGAAACCGTGGAAATGTATACATATTTATTATATTTGATTTGGATAAAAAATCATATTTTTTAGTGGTGGATTCATATTCAAAGTGGATAGAATATACCGAAGTACATGGGTATACAACTAAAATTGTTAATAATAAATTAAGTGAATTATTTGCAAAATTTGATTTGCCGGACAAAATAGTGTCTGATGGAGGTCCAGCCTTCATAAGTAAAAATTTTAAACAATTCTGTGATGAATTAAAAATACAACATATACTTACTCCACCCTATCATCCTAGCTCAAATGGCCAGGCTGAAAGGATGATAGGCATAGTGAAAAATTGGTTAAGAAAATCTAAACAAGAAAAAAAATGAAATCTGGTTAGCCCAGTTATATTATAATAATTCAAGGAATAAGGAGGGGTTTACTCCTGTTGAATTGTTTTTGGGTAGAAGAACCAAATTACTCTTAGATTTTCTTAAGTCAAAAGAGATTGACAATATAGTATCTTATGAAAAAATCAATGTAAAATTTCCTGTAGGGAAAATTATTTGGGGAAGACTTTTTGACCATAAAAAGAAGTGGGAGAAAGGTTGTGTGATAGATAATATTGGGAATAAATTATGTAACATACGATTTGATGATGGTACTGTGGGAATACGTCATAACGATTTTATTAGGGTATATAATAAAGAGGGGAATTAAATTAGTCCATAAAAAACGGAATTGTGGTTCCTGGACAGAATTCTTAGGACAGAACTCTTTGTGTACTTAAATAATTTTAGTGGTAAAGTTTATACAAATAAAAAAAACAATGAGAAATATACCCTAGATAATTAAAAAAATATATATTAAAAAAAATATGAATGAAGAACTGAGAAGAAATATTTAAAGAAAGAGGGTGCATATCATCTTAGAGAAGAGTGAAAACTTCTGCTGATGAAAGTAAAATCTTAATTGGAATTATCTGATATATGTATCATTTTTTTTAAATATTAATAAAAAGATATATGAGCATCACTAAATTTGATTTTAATCAAATTTTCGTGAAATGTGCACTTGTGGGGACAAACAGAAAATAAATCATTTTATGTATAAGGGAATATTTTTTTAATGTTATTTTAAAAGAAAAGAGGATAAAATTAAATAACATGTTTCATGCGTTTCTTTTAGGGAAGGAAAAGTGAAGAGTAAAATATTTTTTAAAAGAAAATAACACGAGTGGTGTTTTCGAAATAATTGTTTCTCTTTTATTTGAATTGCATAGTGGTAATATGTAAATAATTTATGTGATAAAAAAGAGAAAAATTATTAAATTTGTTTTAAAAAAGAAATATTAGAGTGTATTCCATGTTAACAGAATATTGTATATATGTCACAAAAATAAAATCAAAATTAAACAACATGTTTTGTGTATGGTTGATTTAGAGAAAGAAAAATATGTAAATAGTAAAAAGGGGAGAAAATTATTTTTTGTATATAAATAAATTTTAAATTATATTTTTATTTTAAATAATTAAATTTTAATATTTGTGTATTAATTAAAAAAAAATAAATAATAAAATGAGTTATAAGATAGAAACTAGTGACCAGATTATATATGTAAAAATAGTTAAAAAAAAGAAAATGGGATTTAAAAAAACGAAATTTAAGGAATTTCAGTGGTGTTTCAGATGTCAATCTTATGAATACCTCATAAAAAATTGTAATATTCCCATTCACATTTTACAAAGTCAAGAGAGGGAGGAACATCTTAGTGAAATAGATGAGACTTCAGGAACTAGTTATTTTTGTGGGGAAAATAACAGGAAAAAGCCGGAGGTTGCTTATCGTAACTACAACAAGATCAATGAGATTGAATCTCAAAACAAACAATATGGAAATAGGCAGTGGCCGCCTACGAAATATGATGGAACGTTGAAAAAAATTAAGGAAATTTGAGATAAGACAGTGGGAGTCACAAATACAACGATGGGACATAATTCAAATATTATGGAAAGATGCCAGTTCCAAACGAGAAGGATACAAAGTTGGGATCAAAATAGTTAAAGTAACGAACAGTACGAATTTTAAAGAGAAGTATAATTGTAGGGAAACTGAAAAGAAGATGTTAAAAGATAGAGAAGAAGACGTATAATGTAAAACTTATTTTCGCGTTTTTATTTTCTTTCACATGTCTTAGTCTTTTGTAAGGCGGACATGATATATATTATCAAATAATAATACATTTATTTAACATTATAAATAAATGTCAATCAATTTATAGTTGATAATTAGAAAAATAATATAGATATTGATTGTTTATTACATATTTATTGATATTGATAAATATCGAGGATGGATATAAAAAGATTGTAGTTTTTTGTTTTAGAATTAAGAATGAGTTTTTAGTTTAAAAAATAAACTTGGTACTTGATATACTTTTCGTCGGAATATATTTGAATAAAAACGATTAAAAAAAATGAGTTGTAAAATTAAAGTTATACTTATTTTAGATATAACCCTTGATATTGGGACAAAGCCAATCTTGGACTTTTGCTATCCAACAAGAAGTTAAGGTTAAACATAAGAAATAGATTTGGTTATGACATATGACCCCATATATGTAAAGGGTGCAGAAAAGACTCCGACTCTAAGGGCCGACATGATCTAAGTTGTTTATATTCTAAAACCCGGTTCAGTTTATATAAAGCTATTAACTCTATAATTTCTCAAATAAATAAGAATTGGCTAACTGCCCTAACATCCTGGAACCCGTTCATTTAATCCTGTATGATGGGAAAGTACCAGATGGGCACATATTTAATTCGATTACCTTGAAAATCATAATTTATTAATAAAATGAGATATAAATTTAAGTAAAGCATTTTAAATCTTTAAAATTTCATCACAAGTTTGATATCCTATTTAGTTTCGATTCATAATTATTTTAAGATAAAATTCTTTATAATTTATTATTATTACCGTAGCATTAAGAGCCTTAGAAATTAAACGCAGATCGTTTAAATAATTTTCATCAAGGAAGTAATATAAATGTAAAGCATCCATAGAATGATTTTGTGGCAACGTCCAAATGACTAAATCATCGACCAAATTCAACGTAGCATTAGTAAGATATCTTAAATATTTTCATAAATCTTTTAAATTTTATCGGTTTAATGAAAATTTAATTTACCTTAAATAATTCATTAGTTCTGTATTATATAATTTTAATCAAAAATTTTAATTATATGATAGATTAATAGTAAGGTAAACAAGGGGGCATGTTGATTATAGGGAAACGTTCCAATTATAATTTAATATGTTTATTTAGACTTGAAAATTAAGCAATATAGATATTACCAACCCTAATATAGATAATTACCTTATCCATGATTGTATAAAAGAGATTCGGGAAATTAGCATTGTAATATTTACAAAGGAAAATATGTTTTATAAAGTTAGTTGGAAGGGTCAGGGTACTTTAGGATAGTCGGTCTAATTAACTATTGCATATTTTTTTATATTTTAAATAAAACCTATGCAGACATTTTTAAAGGAATATCTATCAATTTTAAATATTACTTTATTTGTCTGCATCTATCCACCTATGACCATTTAATCTATAGGGCTCGCAACCACGCATAATTTGGCCACTACTTTGTAGTCTTCGTGTGTACCATTAATACATTATTCACCTATTGCATATGATAAACTGTGAAAATCCTGACTCCAATGCTGATGAGTCATTTCTCGTTAACCTCACATCTTATCTTGCATACCCTCGAGGTTTCAAACAGTAAGATCTAATTCAAAGAATCTAACATTTTTAAAGTACTCTTTCCCCACCATAAAATCACTTACTCAATAGGTAAATGCATCCGAAAATCCCTTTCCTATAGAAGATCGATGGCACAAATTCTTCAAAAATGACAAGAATTTCAATAAAAATAAAAACCATAATGCCAATAAACAAAGAGAGTAAAACTTATATCTAAACAAAATAGATCACTTAAATTTACGCTATGGTATTCTCCTTACCATATCCAGAGATAATCTGGCTCTTTACGCACGACAATGATATATATATTTGGCCCTACTTCAAAATAAATATTAGAAAAACATAGACACAAATAATTTAATTTAATCTGAACCTAATATTTGTACTACCTCATTACCCAGACAGATGCTATGAAAGCATCCTATCTTTTAGTTGTCATTCTTTACCTTGAATCGACGAAATTCCTCCCATATTACCTCAAGACCTATATCATTTCAAAAAGATTTAGCTCATCATTCAAATGCGTTTAGAGGCATGACCTCAGATATTTCCTATATTATATATGACGCCAAGAATATGGCTCTTCACAAAACTTAATATATATGTTAAATTATATCCAATGGCATCACATGGCATTGACTTCTCACCAAATTAGTAATGAGTAGGATGAAATATTTAATATCACACAACATAAGTCACAGGCAATTAGGAATTAACGTTTAAGTCACATGGCCCGAATGTATTTAGATACCAATACTTTTGATGACATCCTTGCAAAATAGATTCAACTAATGTTTTTAATGCTCTAATATACAATGAATTTCTAAAGTCTGCTCATTTTTATAATCCTAAATTTTCCCAGTTCCTTCAAGACTTCTAGTTAAGATCACCACACCTAGTATTTAGAGTTAAGCTAATTCTATCATTAGAAGGTATCAACAAGGTAACCCACTTAGACCAATCTGGAATAGATAAAATGGTAAGAGACATCAATGCATAATTCAAGCTTAATTTATACTCTTGGTATTGAAGATAAAATAATAGGAGCCTCGCCCGAATTCTTGAAGCCATCTCTTAAATTTTGATTTAGTACAAATAATGAGCCACAGCATGCCATTGGACTCAAACTTAATTGCGATGTAGTGTTACCATACTCATGTTTCTTTTATCAGACTCCTGTTACAGGTAGATTCCTAAGACATACAAAATATAAATAAATTATATTTCAGGCTTTAAATTCTGCTGGAATTCTTTCAGCTATTGAGCTGACTTATATTGTAAAGCAGGTGTTAAACGTCTTGATACTTTCAATATTCCACGAAGAGTGGTAAATTCTTTACCTGGGATTTTTCCTGCTAGATCCATTCTCGCCATCCTAATCAGACCATTATGCTATTGTCAACGCAGAACTAAAATATTTTTTTGTTTTACCTCACAACTATTTATTCATAGAAATAATAGCTACAACGCTATCTACTTTTGGCACTCACGTCCTAGTCTTTTGCAAGAATCTATAGCATCGCTTTAAAATGGTAATTAATAGAGTTCTCTCTAACTATATTCGTTACATATTCTCTGTTGACGGATAAGAATATTAATCAATTATATTTATGAATTCAAATAAATTTTAGATAAAATTTAATCAATTATGGCGTAATTTTGAAATCACTATAGTATTAAGAAAATATTTAAAGAAAATATAATTTTATAATTAATCCTCTATACTATGTGTGGATCAATAACATATAAGTGCCCCAAGGTACCCTGAGTATAGCGTGGTTGGGTTACAAAATTCTTTTTATTCAGTTTAAATTATTTAAAAAAGTATAAATCAAAAATATATATTAAAAACTATATCATAAAGCTTATATTTTTAGGTGATTAATCTGTTATTATTGATTTACTCAGATTTTTAACGAAAAGTATCTTAAACATCCCTAGTTCTCTGTATATACACTATTTCAAATCCATTTTATTTTAAGTATTTTCAGATGTAAAAGGTCAACTTGGTTGCTGGAAAAAAAAATTAAAAAAAAGAAAAATATGAATGAAAAGATAAAATATTGTATAAATATATATTTGTCGATAAAAAAATGCGCTGAAAAGGTTTGCTATAGTTAATTAGATACGCTAAAATTTATAAGAAGCTAAGAGCTTAAATGTGCAAATTGTATTCCTATAATAGCCAAAGCAATGGAAAAGACAATGAGATATCTTCCAACATCATAAGATTAAGAAGGAAGATGACAGTTGCTGAATTTTAAAAATCCTCTTTATAAGGAATGGGGACAGTATTATTATTAACTGTTGAAGATTTTTCTAATCTACATGTATCTAATATAACTCCTATCCTATCCAATCATACGGAGAGGAAATAATCAAAATGATTATTAATACCTATCCTTTTCTGCTTAGGGAGCAAAGTTAAACATAATAATTATCTTATAATTTTTATATAACCATTATGAATATATAATTTTATATTGATACGTAGTGTTGTTAATCGGCTTAGCCGAGTCGGCTCGAACAGAGCTCACCCAAATTTTGGGTCGTTTTTTTCGACTCCAACTCAAAGTTTTGGTCGTTTTTTACGACTTCGACCAGAGTTCAAGCCGAAAAAAACGACTTCGACCCAAAATATGGGTCGTTTTTTTCGACTCCGACCCAAGTCCAAGCCGAAAAAAACGACCTCGACCCAAAATATGGGTCGTTTTTTACGACTCCGACTCAAAATTTGGGTCGTATTTTTCGACTCAAACTTGAAATTTGGGTCGTATTTTTCGACTTAAACTTGAAGTTTGGGTCATATTTTTCGACTCAAACTTGAAGTTTGGGTTGTTTTTTTCGACTAAAACATGAAGTTTGGGTCGTATTTTTTGACTCAAACTTGAAGTTTGGGTCGTATTTTTCGACTCCAACTCAAAGTTTGGGTCGTTTTTCTGACTCAGACTCAAACATCGGGTCGTTTTATTCAATCCGACCCAAAATATGGATCTTTTTTTTAAAGACGACTTAAAGTTAGGGTTGCTTTTTTTAACCCCTAACCCAATTATCTAGATCATTTTTTTCGACCAAAAGTCAAATAACATTTAGTATATATTAATATTATAGGCGGGAAAGTTACTTAAAGCTTCTTTAAATTATAATGCTCTGATTAACTATTCATCATAGTTATATTTTA